TTATAAACATAAACAATTAATCTTGTATCCTCATGCATCTTTTTCAATATCTGCCCCCTTTTCCAGGTTTCTCTTTTGTTTTTCCAAGGAAATAAGATTCACATAACTTTAAATGAGTATTTTACACTATGTTGAAGGAAATACCTTTACACTGAATGAAGTTTTTTTTAATCTATTGTAAATCTGTTTAATATCTGAAACTCCTAGGTATGATAAATAAAGCCTCTTTTATACTGAGCTTCAAGACTCCACTTAAACGCTGCCAAATTTTTATCTATAGGAGGTAGCACATAAGACAAATCCAAGCATATTTGCCTTTTTAAAGGAGGAGGTAGTATAACTACCCAAAAGTGTAAGCTGAGCCAAGAACTCATTCCCAGTTTAAGCCAAAGTATAGATAGGCCAAATCTCAGGTGGATCTCAAAACACATAGCCAAGTTCCAACCAAGAGTGCTTGTTGTTGATAAAAGGACACAGGAAATAGCTTTCCAAAAGATGGACTGAATTACTTCCAAAATAGAAGGATCTGTGGTAGCCAGAAGTAAAGTAAGCAAAATCATTTTGAAGATACAACATCCATTTATTAGCATGTGTACAATACAATGTACATTAAGATCCCAGCAAAACACTGGCAGCTTGCTCAGCAACCCTGAGCAAAAGCATAACCACAACCTATATATTTTAGTGTACTATATTACAAAGACAAAACAAAGAAAAAGGTAGACTCGGTGTAAATTAGAACAGAGGTGCCCAACCTTTTGGGCACCAGGGACTGGTTCCATGGAGAAAAGTTTTTCCATGGACCGGAGAGTGCGTGGGTTTGTGTGCTGCCTGCATCCCACGGATGGGGCTTTGCTTGTTTGTGTGGACTGGTTGCTGGCATGCTGCGGCCCAGTACCCGTCCACGAACCAGGGGTTAGGGACCCCTGAATTAGAGCATAATATGGGAATGTTTTGGGTAAACCCATCTAAGTAACCTTATTTATCCCTTTCTCCTGGGTCCATCATATCAGACCTGCACGGAATTGCATACCATATACCAGCAAGTTTAAGATTTCCATTTCGAATAATTTGATTGCTACAAGCACATTGATATGACTTTGTGACTGCAAACTTGACAATCTTGTTAGAGGCTTTTTTTTGTTCTTCTTGAGAGCTTATCTGTTTGATGACTCCAGATAATTGGAGAGTAATGTTTAAACACTTGATTTGCTCAATAAGTTTATTACTGGTTTGTCAATTACTTGAAATATCTTTTAGTGCAAACTCAGACCTTTGCTTTAGCATAAATAATGTCTAGTAAGTGTTAATTACTTGAAATTTTCCTGAAAGAGCAAAAGGAAGTAAAACAGTTAAGAAGTCCAGTGGGGAGACTTGCCTGTTACTTTAAAGATTATCTTTTGTTATGAAGTCATTAGCTGGTTTCATTTTATTGTTGGCACAGTGCCTATACTATGAAGCAGAGAGAAGCTTGACTGACATTGGAAAACGTGGATTGGAAGAATTTGAAAGGAAGTCATGTAATTCCTCATTCTGATTATTCTAAGGGGAATTGCTGAAGTTAAGATACTTCAACAATTAAAGTTAAGTTAAACTTAAACTTAAATAGCATCCTAAGGCTATCTGTATTATTAAGAAGCCACCCAACAGCATCTAAGTCCACTTGGGAATTGGGGTGGGAAGAAACTGGTTCAAGGACAGGACAATTCTTTTGTGGATGGCCCATCAATCTGAATTGATGCTGTTATCCAAAATTATAAGTGTTATTTGAGCTGGTTGAAGCAATTCCTTGGAGATATCAAAAAAACAGAGGAGGATGGGTTCCTGCTTCTTTGGATGGCAGTAAGCAAGATCTCTGATTAACAGAGATCAAAATATATTTGAGAAGATAATTTGGGAGGAGAAAGAGTGCTAAGTTTTTTGTTAATTGTTGCTATATTAAAGCATATCAAAAATATAATCTCAGCACTGGTTTGTCACTAGATCAGAATGGGAAGGAAGTGCTGTTATTTATACATCGCTTTACTGCCAAAAGCTATTCAATTACCAGTCTCAGAGCCAAAGTAAAGGGACACTTGAATCCTGGTTCTTTGCAACTAGAATCAACCTCCCTTTCTTTGCTTTTTAAAGTAATTTTATTATTTATTATATTTGCAATACTGTAGTAAAAACTAATACAAATAAAAGGAAGAAAAAAGAGTAGAAAGAGTAAAATGTGCTAAGAAAAAGAAATACATGTAGAAGAATGAAATGACTTTCAACTTTAATCACAAATGTAAACAATTTTAGTAATTTTTTCTTCATCCTGTGTCCCATCTCTTATTTATAAACAAATCCATAAAATATTATCATTTCAGTTCTGGAGCCAGCAAAAATCTAGAAGTGTTGCCAGAAATAAAAACTTATCTATTTAAACTTGATCAAGTAAACCAATGTTATATTCCTTCTTTTTACTTTTAACACTGCAGGGACCAGTTGCTAAAAGTCAAAATTGACTTGAAGGCACAATGTTTCCCTCTGTCACCCACTGCCAAACAACTGATCAATACACCGGTAGCTGCAATCCAATTCTACATGCACCACTTGCCTCCTTGTCATTTTCAGTACCACTAGCTTTAATTGCTTGCACCCAGGGCAGACACTAATCCACCTGCCCTGGGTACACCCCTGACTATTTTTGCTTATAGTAATGGGTTATGTGAAAACTCAATCACTGGCAACCTCAAAGCTCAATTACCGCAATGCACTCTTTGTAGAATTATCCATGGTGCACAATTTTGAAACTGCAGCTGGCCTTAATGTAATCATATGAAGGGTACGATTCTGCAGCATCACTCCTAAGCTGAAACAGCAAGGCCAATTCCAATGGCTTTCCAAGCCCAAATCTAGATGTTTAATTCAATGTGCAAAAACTTTCAGAGCTTAGGTAAGCTAAGTTACCTGAAGGACTCTTTACTTCTACACAGCCCTTTGAGGGTAGTAAGATCAAAGAACATACGTGGCAGATTTTCAAGGAATGACACTTTCAGAAACTAAAAGTCTGTTGGAAACTTTCACTATCTCTTTTTAAGAAGAACAAGATCAAGGCTAGACTGTTCTAAGTTTCTTCCTCATCTTTCTACTTTCTGAGCAACTATTTGTCTTTCATTCCTCCTTTTCCAGAACTAAATTTTCACTCACAACTTCAATGTTGCAGATTTCCTATCTGGATATGTTTAATGTGTTTATTTAGGAAAGTTTTAAAGTCACATTCTCTTTAACAAACTTTTAGCAGATCTTCTAAAGTTTTTTTTCTTCTAGCAAAATACTACTTTTACAGTATCTTGATAATTCTGAGAACAGTTACAAAGACTAAATATCATGGCACCTTGAAGACTAACAGTAAATATGTAATACCATAAGCTTTCATGAGCTACTGTTTACTTTATCAGCACATTTAAGCTTGTCACATAATATATTTATATATATATTTGTTTTTAAGATTATCATAATCCTTTCTGTGATTTCTGTTCCAAAGATTAATCTGGCTACCTCTCAGTATAAGTCTTATACAAATTACTATTGCTGCTGTTTAAGTAACTTTTTTAAAGTGTAAAATGACAAATGGAAAGAAGAGAACATTTATCATTTTTTCTTAGTTGCATATGCTTCCCCTTTCAATACAAGAAATGCAAAAAATACAATCATAAAGTTAGAAATTATTCATTATTATTTTTTGTCAGTTTTATGCCCTTCTTTCAGGAGCTCAAGGTGACATATTTTCTCCTTCTGTTTTTTTCCACAACAGCCCTATCAGGTAGTTCGGACTGAAAGACAGTGAGCAGCCCAAAAGACCTTGCCAGCTTTGATGCCCAAGAGTACACTTGAACCATGCCTTTCCCAGTTATTGTCTAACATGCTAACCACTGTGCTACACTGTTTTTACATTTAGCAGGCCAAACTAAAACACCTGAAGGCCAAATGCTGACTTTCATTTTTATATAACTATACTGGAGAGATTCAGTGATTTAGTCATTTTCTTCCAATGTTTTACATTTGTTTCTGGGACACATTGTAACAGCTGATGAAAAGAATGACAAAAGTTACTTGAGCATTCAGGCTCATGTTGAATTTATCTTTCCCTTGGCACTTGAGATTGAAAATACAGCCAAGCAGGGTTTTGGGGAAGTCAAGGTGTATTACCATCCCTGCTGTTGCTACTTCAATCCATGGCTTTATACCTGCTCTCTCTTTCGGACGAGCCAGTTCTTTGTTTTTCTCTCAAATCTTGAGCTCATTCTAATTGTCTACTTTTTAAAGCTGGAAGGAAAGAAGGAAACAGAAGAGCATTCTAATCTTCAGAAGATTTAAATTGCACACTTTCATACCAGCCAAACTGAACTTTCATTTAATAGGCCAGTGGTCCTGAAAGGCAAAGAACATCTGCAGCTCTCTTTAGGTGCAACCCTAAAAGAATTGGCTCAAAGATAGTGACTGATTTAGGAAGAACTCCTAATTAGAAACCAGAAGACTGTGAGTTCTAGTTCCACCATAGGTAGGAAAGCCAGATTGATGACTTCGGCCAGTCATTCCCTTTCAGTTCAATCCATCTCACAAGGTGGTTACTGTGGGAAAATTAGTAGGAGGAAGGCATGTTGGATACAACAATAACAATAATAGAGTTGGAAGGGACATTGGAGATCTTCTAGTCCAATCCCCTGCTCAGGCAGGAAACCCTATACCATTTCAGACAAATGGCTGTCCAGTCTCTTCTTCAAAACTTCCACTATTGGAGCATTTACAACAGTGGTTCTCAACCTTTCTAATGCTGCGACCCCATAATACAGTTCCCCATGTTGTGGTGACTCCCAACCACTTATACATCACCGGGTGCCAGGGGTGTGGCCAAAGAAAAGGGAGGGGGAAAATGGCGGACAGCCTTGTTTGGCGACCCCCGTGAAATGGTCATTCGATCCCAAATGGGATCCCGACCCACAGGTTGAGAACCACTGATTTACAACTTCTGGAGGCAAGTTGTTCCACTGATTAATTGTTCTAACTGTCAGGAAATTTCTCCTTATTCTAGGTTGCTTCTCTCTTTTATTAGTTTCCATCCATTCTGCCTTCAGGTTCTTTGGAGAATAGCTTGACTCCCTCTTCTCTGAGATATTGGAACACTGCTATCATGTCCCCCCTCATCCTTCTCTTCATTAAACTAGACATACTCAATTCCAGCAACTGTACTTTATATGTTTTAGCCTCCAGTCCCCAATCATCTTTGTTGCTCTTCTCTGTACTCTTTCTAGAGTTTCAATATCTTTTTTACATCATAGGGACCAAAACCGGATGCAGTATTCCAAGTGTGGCCTTACCAAGGCATTATAAAGTGGTATTAACACTTCACATGATCTTGATTATGTCCCTCTGTTAATGCAGCCTAGCACTGTGTTGGCTTTTTTGGCAGCTGCAGCACACTGCTGGCTCATATTTAAGTGATTGTCCACTAGGACTCCCAGATCCTACTCACAATTACTACTATTGAGCAAGGTACCACCTATATTGTATCTGTGCATTTGGTTTTTCTTGCCTAAATGTAGAACCTTAATTTGTTCACCACTGAATTTCATTTTGCTAGATAGCACCCAATGTTCAAGTCTGTCAAGATCCTTCTGTATCTTAAGCTTATCTTCTGAAGTGTTGGCTATTCCTGTCAGCTTGGAGTCATCTGCAAATTTGATGAGTTCCCCATCTATCCCCTCATCCAAATCATTTATGAAGATGTTGAAGAGCACTGGGCCCAGAACAGCCCTGGGGCACCCCACTACACACTTCCCTCCATCTAGATGCAGTTCCATTGAGGATCACACGCTGAATACCGAATACATCTGGTGGTGATGCTGTCTAACCCACATTTTTCTATCTTATCAAGTAGTAGCTTGTGGTCTACTTTATCAAATGCCTTACTGAAGTCCAAATAAATTATATCCACAGCATTACTCTGGTCCACTAATTTTGTCACCTGGTCAAAGAATGTAATAAGATTTGTCTGGCATGATCTGTTTTTGACAAACCCATGTTGGCTTTTGGTAATGACTTTGTTTGCCTCTAGATGTTCACTGATTCATCACCTAATTATTTTTTTCAGCATCTTCCCAGATATTGAGGTTAGGCTGATAGGTCTGTAGTTTCCTGGATCCATTTTTTTTTTCTTTTTTGAAGATTGGAACCATATCAGCTCTTTTCCAGTCCTCTGATAGTTCCCCAGTGCTCCAGGATCTTTGAAATATATAGTTCATGTGTTCACTGACTTGAGATATTTATAAAAATAATAATAAGGACAGGATATAAATAAATAAAATATATCACTTCACTCCCAACACCAACAGAAACAATTCCTCCTAATGCAAATGCCACGTTTAGATTTTCTTCAGGACGGAAGGAAAATGTTATATTTCCAATTTTCTCTCCATCTTTCCAACTTCTGCTTTATGTCTCTGCCTCATACCAGTACATAAAGCTAATGCTATTTACAGTTTTCAAAACTAGCATATTAAATGCAGACTCATGATAAACTGCACTTCTCATCTGAACCTGTGACATTGTTTTAAAATTACCAACCAGTCATTTTGGATTAGATTGTTAAAATGAGCCTATTTCCTGCTTTTCCTTGAACCTCCATTCAAGTTCACATAGTACCAAACATAGCTTGATGTAACCATGCTACATTAAATCTCTTCGGCTTAGTGGCCCTGTTCATGAAACTATCCTTACCACAACAATACAGTGGTATGCTATAAACAAAGACATTGCAGAAAAGATCCATTACCATACATATCCCAATTAATGTATCCATTAATCAGACATTGATCCCAATAAATCTCATTGAAACAGCTCCTAGAAAAATATTTCTTTTAACCCCTAACATACAGAGCTAAGTCTCTTGATCTTATTCTTTTGTATAAACCCAATATAAAGCACTGCTGGGTACTTAGCAGCTCAAGGGCCAAATGTTTTCTTCATGTAGCCTTTGCCTTCAAAAGTTTCTAGTTTAGGTTTCTTATAGAGCTATCCTTCCCTAGCAACAGCCTACTGTTTGCGCAGAGAGAGAATTTGTTCTTGGTCTACTTTTGGCTTCATGCAGCCTATCTCTTATGGAATGCAATCCTTAATAGGAAAAAGGGTTGCTTATCTATTATACAAAGGATGTACACATTTAAAGGAGCAGTCAAGGATGCATTCTGCATACATTATGTCTCTGCTAGAAATAATGACTGAAAATATGTTAGCCAGATACATCAAACATACTGAATTGCTCACCTTGCTTTCTGGAATAGGAATCAAGTGTTGGATAAACCATGCAATTGCTTCCAGCAACTTGAAATTCACTTCCCAAATTGCCCGTCTGTCATGAGATTACTGGACTTGAAACTCAAAATATCTGGAAGGCACAAGGTTTTCTACATTTCATCCATCTATAGAGAACCTATTTATTTGACAGGAAGACATAACAGTCTTATTTCTCCATTCAGTACAGAGTTGAGAGTCTGGTGCTTCAGCAACTATTTCTTATTGTGTGTTTAGGCTTCCCGTTCAGCTTTAATTGTATTGAGTAGAACAGATTCAATTTAGGTTTAAGTGATCTTGTTCAAGAAAGCTAGTAATGTAACTAAAATAGTACCTTGCCCAGTCACCATGCATATGTATGTGCATATATTGAATAAAAGGATTCATTAAGTTATAGATCATGCAGATTTAGCAATGACTTATTAGACCATAATGGAAATTCATATATAATGAGTATCTTTTATTTCACAAGGTTTAAAAAACTGGGCAGCAGTTCAAACTCGTGGTTTGAACTGGGCAGCAGTTCAAACTCGTGGTTTTATTACTCAGAAATAAAACCACTCAGCTTAAAGAAAAACTATTTTCATTGTGTTGGCCCATTAGCATTTTAAAATAATCAAAAAAATAATATATTGTTAAGATTCACCAAAAAGTTACAAAAAAATCTGCAACCTTTTAGACCCTTCTTCAAAATCTAAACATGAAAAGAAACACAGAAATAAAAGGGGAATCTAACAGATATGACGCAGTATGGTGACTCTTGTAATTTCATTATACAAACAAGATTATTATTTTATGATACATTAAGACTCCTAGATTCTATGAAGCAGTTAAAACAATTCTGTTCCATCTTGCTTTCAACTACTAGGGAATGTTTCTTTTGTGGTACACATCTTAGAAAATGGAAGCTTTTCTTGTGTAACATGGTTTTAATTTTAGGAGGATTTTTATATGATGACGATGTATTCCACTCAGCCTACAGATTGAAATGAATTTTTAAAACTATAGGATGGGATTGTGGGATCTTGATAGAAAGGTTTTACAATTTTGAACTAGCTCCTAAAATGTATTTATTTGTTTATTTATATTCCACCTTTATTTTTTTTTATGAATAACTCAAGGCAGTGAACATATCCAGCACACCTTCCCCTTCCTCTTTGCCCCACAACAACAACCCTGTGAGGTGGTTTGGACTCAGAAAGAATGACTGGCCCAAATAATTATGCCTAAATCCTGTATCTGAGAAACTTTCTTTAGAATATTTCTGACATAAAACAAGAGAAGATTTATTCTCAGTAAGTAAGAAAGAAATGGGATTTGTATGTTCCTCTCATGATGAAAGGGGGAAAAAACCCCAACATTTGTTTTTATAATGACTGGAAAAGAGGAGGAGTTGCTTATCTGGATCATGTGGCTTCAGAAAGTTTGTTGCTGGGAATTTAGTTACTTTAGTTACCTTGAAAAATATGTTTGCCAAAATACATATATTTTGTCATAACATGACAAAATATTTCTAATATGAAATTTATTATGAAACTTCCAGTTACATTTAATCTTATTTGGCTTGTACAACTTGGTACAAATGCAAATACAGTGGGTTTATAAATGTCAAAATTCCCAGTTTATGAGAATCTTAAGAGTCATAGTCCTTACATGTATGGAGGACACCAGTTGGGGTTGATCTTACGAGTCCTTCCGGAATTCCATTCTGTAGCTATTTTTAAAAAAATCTCTAGTGACAAATTGTGGCATTGCCAAATGGAACAATCTTTAGCATAAAAGCTTTTTGGCTAACGTGGATTCTTAGCCAAAAATTCAGGGTTCACTTTTGTCAAACAGCACACAGGACTTAATGTAATATTAAAACACAGTATAACTCTAGTTAAACTTATCATTAGAAAAGGTTTTCAATCATAACTGTTAAACCAAAGATCCAAAGTCTTAGTTCAAATATGAAGTTATTATGCAGCCAAAATAGAAAGCCAGTTTGCTGTAGTGTTTAAGGCACCAGGCTACAAATCAGATTCTAATCTTTCTTTAGGCACAAAGCCAGCTGGATGATATTGGGACAATCGCTTTCTCTTAACCCTAGGAAGCAGGCAATAGCAAGCCCACTTCTGAAATCTTGCAAAGAAAACTGGGAGGGATTAACTGCTGCCAGGGATTAACACTGACTCAAAGGACCACACACAGAGATAGGTCATCAAAATAACACATTTATTAAATCAAAATCAAACAACATTTTCAGCTCAGAACCCTGACCCAATCATACTGAATATAATTCAATGTTCAAACTGTATGCAAGATTACCTAGTTGAAAAACCATCCTCATTTTCTCCCTTCTTCAGCTTCAGCACTAAACAAGACACTCAATTGAATACTTTTTAAATTATGCCATTTGTTTAAACTTCAAAATATTTTAACAGCCGGGCAAGCCATTTAATATCAAGTTATCCAATTGCAAATGAAAGGGACATTTTCAGGGTTTTAACTAAATCAGCTTCAAATCTTTATCACAATGAAGATGTTATCAGATCCAAATCAATAAAGACAGGAATAGTAAGCTGATGCCCTTATAAATACCCTCCAAAAAAATTCCTGTCTCTTTTAAGACTGATGGGAATTTGATATATTTCACAATTCTGAGACTGGCTCTTTTTTTGTCTAAATAATTTATATGAATGCTGAAGAGAGGCTGCCCTGAACCAGTTGTATTTG